CGAGAGCTCCACAAAGGCTAGTAATAATGGGCAAATTTTAGTCCAAAGTGGCACTTGATGAGGTAATAACAGCTAGGTAGGAAGTACAAAGGAAGTCCAAACAGTAAGGCCACTAAGTGGAATCAGCAGGTCCACTATTGTTGAGATCCAGCAAGTCCAGTAACTTTAATAGTCAAACAGAGGCAGAGCAGAATAAAGGGAGATTTTTGTCAAATTGAGGCCAGAAACGACGAAATTAGCAGTCAAAATGGCCGCCGCCCTCACTTCGAAGTTAAACTTCCTGCTGGCAAGCAGCTTTCCATGTGGAGAGAAGCAAACAAAATGGCCGCCGCCCTGACTCCGAAGCTAAACCTTCTGCTGGCAAGGAGACGTCAGGGGAGAAAAGAGCAAACAAAAATGGCCGCCGCCCTGACCCAGAAGCCAAGACCTACTGAGGGCAATCAAAATGGCCGCCGAAGGCTCCGACGATGTAAAATTGCAGAGGGCGAGCGAGGGAAAATAAAATGGCCGGCGTGACCTGCCAATACAAGCAATTAGCCGCCCAAGTTGCAACGGGGGCTAAAACGGCCGTAGAGTAGAGCCAGTCCCTCTGGGAAGCCTCCCAGCCCAGGCAAATACACCAGGAAGACAAGCGCCCCCCCCAGGGGTGCTACAGTTAGAAATAGTGTCCTATCTAGAAGGGCAGTAAAGGGCTGAACGATACCAGAAAGTTGTTAGAAGTCCGAGAGTCGATCCAACTGTTAAGGGGAAAAAACGGAAAACCGTAGTCTAGAAGTCCGAAGTCAAAAAGCCAGAGAAAAACATCCAAATAAGCTAAATAGCCAGAAACGAGGTAGAGCTAAAGACCCACACGCCAGATCAAGCTGAAGGACTGAGTCTAAAGCGGGTCTGCCCGGTAACAAGGGCGGGACTTGATGTGATTGATAGACTCAGTCCTTCATGCTGATTGGCTGCTGCTACCCATCCTGGCTGCTGTCTCCACTCTCAATGGAGAATAAGGGATCTAAATAATTGTACAAACACAATGGGAGGAAACCCTCAAAAAAAATTTTTAAAAAAACATAGAGATTAGATTTTATAGTAAGCAAATTGAGGCAGTGACCACAACAACCTGAGTTTATACAGCAGTTTCTTCAAATGGCCAATTATTCAGACTGAAATGTGGTGATTCTGACTGGCTTATGATATTCAGACTAAAAATATGGAATATTTTCTTTATCCATAGGGTTATGCCTGGTTGAATAAGATACCAAAATTGTAGGACTCTTAAAACCTATAGATTCTTCATATCTTTTCAAGAAACCTGTAGTTTTGTTTTAAAATAGCGTAATAAGATAGGTTCACTATGAAAATATTTCATAATCTCCAAGGGACAAAAATTTGAGGCAAATCACAGTAAACTTTGTGCCTTGCCAGCATCTTGAAACAGAAGTGCTAAGGGGAACAAGCAAGGAATTCATGAGCTCTGGTTCTTGCTTATATAATTGGGACCTTATATGAACAACTGAGTACAGTCACACACAAAAAATGTAAGTGGGAGTAACGTTTGAAGCCATTTGAGAAACATCACCCATTTAATCTATCTATCTCAAAGTCTTCTGCATTTACTACAACTTGATTAAGACTGGGAAAATAGCAATTAGTCTCTCATATTTCATTCACGAAATAACCATAATGTCATAATTTTACTCCTACTGTGTTTTCTCTAAAATAAAACCCAACTGAAAAATATAAGCCCCAGCATGATTTTTCAGGATGCTTGTAATATAAGCCCTGCCCCCCAAAAATAAGCCCCAGTTAAGATTGTCAGCTAGATGGACACATTTAGCAATAACAATAGAATTTAGACTTATATACATACCACAGTGCTTTACAGCCCTCTCTAAGCAGTTTACAGAGTCAGCATATTGCCCCCAACAATCTGGGTCCTCATTTTACCGACCTCGGAAGGATGGAAGACTGTATTTCCCCAAAGATAAGATCTAACCAGAAAATAAGCCCTAATGCACCTTTTGGAGCAAAAATTAATATAAGACCCAGTCTTATGTTTGGAGAAACACAGTAGTTGTATAGATAAATAAGTCAGATTGAGATAACATGAGTTGCCCTTTGATTGTTACCAAGCATATCTAATCTTATCCACTGTGTCATGTAAGCAGCAACATTCATAGCCCTTTTAATAGCAGTTTAAATGTATGTTTTATACTCATATAACATCCTGATTTAGTATAATTACAAACTATAGATTAACAAATACTACAGTTAAAGTGTTTTTTTTTAAATGAGATATAGAGTTCACAATTCTGTAATTTGAACCAATCTCTATACATGTCCTAAGTTTTCTATAATGGACAGTTAATGTAAATCTGTGACAGGGAGAGCTGTGATGCTTGAGAACATGGCTCTTCTTTTCAACATTGACCATATCAAGAGGAAAGATTTATTTTCCCTGGGAAGTCTTACTTCTGAGTGCGAAGCCCAGCCCTGTGGGTGGATGGTAGACAGAGTCTAAATTCTCTAGGAGACCTGTAAACTGGAATGGAAACTTCTGGGAGATAAGAACAAGTAGGAAGCTTGGAAGGGGCATTTCTTTGAGATTCTGCAAGGGATACTGCCAGGGAGAGAAGTTATGGGACCAGAAGTGAACAAAGGAGAGAAAACCAGAAAGGTGGGGGCCTAAACAATCCATGGGTTAGGAGCAAAGAGGAACCAAGTGATGTTTGCAGATACTGAAGAAGAACCTTAAAAAAAGTGGCAGAGAGCAAAGGAAACAAAGCAGTGCTGGAAATGACAACCTTGTACCATTACAATGCAAAATCCAGATAGTTGAAGTTCTAGCAAGAGAAAGAGAATTTAGCTGCAACAGCAGTGCTAGGAGAGGAGGGAAATTAGCTTTCCAAAGCCAGCAGTTAAGGTCAGTGATTTGGGAGAGAAGGGAGGAGGCCAAAGTGGTGTTCAAGGAAAGAAATATCAAGTAATAGTCATCTACAGGGGTTGGATAAGGACATATAGAGCACATGGTTAAGTTTTTTTTCCCCTTGAGTCTTCACTTTTACATGCACTTGTAAATACACAACCTGCATCATTTCTTTATTGAAATTTGTACAGTGTAAAGTACAATAATTGACACTTGGATTCCACAGAGCTGAGAGTGGGGATCTAAAAAAATTCCTATCTTTTACTATTTGTTTGTTTGTTTGTTTATATAATACTTATATGTTTATATTATTTAAATATATAAAATATATTTCACATTTTTGAACAGCTCCCTCCTTACTCACTCTCTCTGACAATACTCCCCATTGTTATGAATACTATAATCTGTGTAGTTGCATGCTTATGAGGTAGACATAGAAAACGTCAGCAGTGGTCTTTACTGACTATCTCTCTATACATTATCACACACAATGAGGAATTAAATAACTAAGTAAAACATCAAAATACTTTTTGTACAGTCTAAACTATGTGATTTTTAAGCCTGCTAACTATTGCTATGCTCACTTTGGTTGATATACATCACCAACTGTGCTATGCAATAAATTTTAAAAGCATGATAGCATGATAGCAATAGAAACAGCACTTAGATTCATATACCGCTCCATAGTGCTTTACAGCAGTCTTCAAGCTGTTTACGAATGTCAGCATATTGTCCCCAACAATCTGTGCATTCTCATTTTACCGATCTCAGAAGGATGAAAGGCTGAGCCAACCTTGAGCCAGTCAGGATAGAACTCCTGACTGTGGGCAAAGTTAGCCTGTAATAATGCATTCTAACTACTGTGCCACCACATCTCAATATGATAAAAGATGCTTCCACACATTAGCTTTTTTGAAGATCGGAAGTGTTTATTCTATGCATACCATCCTTCACCACAAGCAATACTCTTTCCTAATTCCAGGTTCTGTTGCAACATGTGATTAGAGAATCTAAAGAATCTAGATTTATAAATACAACTTCTAAAAGTCTGGCCACTAGTAAGGGTTTCTGGGAGTTGTAGTTCATAAGCTCTAGGATGTAGCTGCTTCTTCTTCTTGTGCCATACCGATCATATTGGCGATCCTATTTTTATCAACAGCTGCACAAAAAAGTGCTGCTTAGTTTTGAATATGTATGCTGAATATGAATATGTATGTAGCTTATTTTTCAATTATATCAGGAGTATATTAAATGTTCACAGGAATATAAATCTGTACAATTTTAAATGGTATTGAAAATTTTACAAAGCCATTTCATGCCTAGTTTGAAAGAATTGTATATAAAAATTTCTTTAATGTTAGATCCTGCTCCAATAATCAATCTATCTATCTATCTATCTATCTATCTATCTATCTATCTATCTATCTATTCTTTCTTGCTTGCTTGCTTGCTTGCTTGCTTGCTTTCTTGCTTTCTTTCTTTCGAGAGAGAATGAGAGAGAGGGAGGGAGAGAGAGTGTAGCCTTGTTTACTAGCTTTAAAACAACAAAAGAAAATGGGACGTAATGTCTGTTCCAGGGGCAGGTTCCAAATCCCGCCACTACCGGTTCACCGGATCCAGTGTGAACCAGTAGCAACCCACCACTGGTCTGTTCACACAGGATACCAAGCAGTAATGGGGTGGGTAGGCAGAGCCTCCCGCAGCCGTCACTACTGGTTTGCCCAATCCGGGGGGGACCGGTAGCAACCCACCACTGGTACTAAGGTACCTAATCTGAAGAATTCTTCACCAAACGTATTTTTAAAAATGAGCAGTTTCAAGAGCAGATTTTCAAATTAGAATGCAGAGGGAAAGAGCACAGATCATGAAACTATTTTTGAAGCCCATGTAAACTCCTAAATTCAAATGCCAGATTCAGCTCCAGAAAGATGCTTCAGAGCACACAGTCTGCACAGGTACCCTTAGAGGAATGGAAATGTGCAATGCAATGTCATAATGCAAACCATGTCACTTATAGGCTTGGCTTGCCTGTGACATCAGAACTCAAGTAACAAAGCTCAGGGTTTGTGTTGCAACCTAGTGATGGAATTTTTGTGACTTTTTTCAATGCCGTTTGTATCAGATGCTGATTTCTGCCTGTTAGATTAGGTGGCAATGACTACTTTAACTGTAGTTATTTGTAGTTCAGCAGGCTCTGCAAAATCTTTTCTGACATACTGTGCAGCTCTACAATATTGCCTGTAGAGGTAAGTTACTATATTGAGTTATTGTTTCCAACTTTTCCTTTTGCTTTTATTTAGGCCAAACATGGATCATAGTCAGTTGTTCTGGAGCAAATTACTTGAGATGCCCTGCCCATATGGTTGTGTCATTCAACCATAGTCTTCTAGCCTCAAGAAATTACATCACATAACACAGTTCCCATGTGACACTCTCTACAGGGTGGAGTGGTGCATGGATAAAACAAATATGAAACACTTTTGTTCTGGATTCATTTGTGGAAATGTAACTGCAGCTGGATTATTCTATCAATTCTGGAACAAAACTAACACATCTGATTTTCTTCAGTATTCATTTTCTCAAGCATTTGTTTGGTTTGGCATTATTTTTATATCAAGTTGTGAATAAAAACCTGCACAAAAACATGCATGCTTTTCCAGCACACACTTTTTCCCAGGATACCTATTTTCTGTTAGCAATGCTTCCTAATATACTGCATTTTGGATGCATATTTTATTTAATGTACACTAGTGGCCAAAATTGTGAAACCTTTGGGGAAAAGTGTATTTTTGAGGTTTGATGGCAAATAACACCACTTTTTTTGGAGTGTCAAGATAATCATATTCCCCTGCTGGAATGGCCTGGGAATAGCCCAGACCTTAACCCAATTGAAAATTTATGGAGCCAACTAAAGAAACTTGTTAGTCAGAAGCGACCCAGCAATAAAACCGAGTTAATAGAAGCAATCATTCAACCTTGAGTTCATTATAACAGCTGCAGAACTAAAAGACTTCGTTCACTCCATGGGAAGATGTTGTAAGGCCATAATTCATGCTAAAGGTTACCCAACTAAGTATTAACTGACGTGATAATTTTTGTATATCTTGTTTTTTCTACGTGTTTCATTTTTCTTCTTTATAACTGCTATTCTGTAACTGCTATTCTAATAGCAAATCTTTCATAAAAGTTACTGCATTACATTCTTGATTAAATTATCTTTCAATTGATATATAATTTTATGGTACTACTCCAAAAAAAAAGTAGTGTTATTAGCTAGTTTTAGAAAATACACTTTTCCCAAAAGGTTTCCACAATTTTGGCCACTACTGTATACAATTTTGAACGCAGATTTCCTTAACATATCTATTCTCATTTTTTAAACTGCAAACCACGTGGAAATCTGCATTTTTCAATGTTTTGAAATAAGTTTGTCTTCCAATTTGCCTATAACTCCCACAGATGCAAACTTAATAAAATTGCATTACAATCAGGACAGAATAAACCAGATAACACATAACAATTGAGTAAGAGTTTGGAAAAGAAATATGAGATTACTTGATCAACATTTGATTCCTGCAATTTTCTTGGCAACTTTTCAGAAATGGTTTGCCATTGCCTTCTTTCTAGGGCTGAGAGAGAGTCACCCAACCTAAGTTCACCCAACTGGCTTTGTGCCTAAAGTGGAACTAGAACTCACAATCTCCCAGTTTCTAGCCTGTTGTCCTGCTTGCTAGTATTTTGTCATTTTATTCAATTATTTTTTCATGTTTAACTCTATATCTTTATATTCTATATTTCATTCTTATTTATTGTTATATATCTTAAATCTACACATACTAGTCAATTTATGTACTGTATATGTATACCGATAGTCCTTGAATTACGACTACAATGGAATCTGAAGTTTCAGTCCTAAATCAATGCAAGTTAAAATGGACCATCACGTGACCAGACGTGATTTTATGAACGGTTATACAACTGTCATAAAGAAAGTCATTCTAGTCATTAAACAAATCACATGCTTCTTAAGTGAACCCAGCATATCCAGTGAGTATTTTTTTACCATTTGCTGCTGGAAAACAACAAAAAACATTGCAAATTGCAATCAAGTGACTGTGAGACACTGCAATCCTCAGAAAATTATTAATGTTGTCCATTCCAGGATAACATTCCAGTTTTCAAATGTTTTTGCCAAAAAAAGTTTAACAAACACAAGGAGAGGAGGAAAATTATATGTGCTAGAAACAAGTCATAATTTCTATGCCAGAAAAAGAAAGTCCTAACTAGGCAAAAGACTACAAAAGGGCCAAATATTCTTAATCAATTCTTACTAAAACTGAGGGTATTAGCCAGGAATGCCACCAAAACTCTTCTTTAACATTATAGTATTTATTGGTCCTCCTACCCTTCCTTATAATCATTTAGAAAGCTCACTACATCTGAATTCAACAAATCTCAGGTCAGCATACATAAAGAAATGCTCAGGAATAGGAAATTTAACTCTGTGTGTGTGTGTGAGAGAGAGAGAGAGAGGGAGAGGGAGAGGGAGAGACAGAGAAGTTACTTTTCCATTCACAAGATAAACAATATTAATAATAATCCATATGAGCTTGATGGTTAGAAAGAAATAGAGATAGTAGAAAAAATGAAAGTAATGTAACCTTGGAGCAAGAAGCCAATTTAAATGTATACTTATAACTTTTGTAAAAAAGAACCAGAAGCCTTTTCTTTATATTTCTTTTTCTTTCTTTCTGTACTTATGGCTTTGTTCTCTCTTTCTCATTCCTTCTCTTAATTGTTATTTTCTGTTAGTTTTTTATTTTATTAGTATTTTAAAAAATCTAAGAACATTATTGAAACAAGATGAGAAATATTAATACTCCTTTTCCTTTGTAAGGATGCTTGGAAAGGTAAATGAAGAGAAAAAAACCTTCCAGTTTTCTCTTGCTTTTTTCCAGCCTGTAGATGTTCCAAGCTGATTTTGGTTTTAAACAATATTATTAATAATGTGCAATGTGCCACAATTAGTTTGGGCCTGAAAACTGTAAGTCCAGTTGCCTTTTGAAAAAGCAACTTTAGGACAACCATGACCTGGATGACTGAGAATCTCCATAGACATTTAGTTCAAAGTTATATTTTGAGATTTGCATCTACCAGCACTTTATGTGCAGCTACATTCTCCCACATTCCTTAAGCTTGGGGGCTTGGGACATTGTTGCAGTTGCTTTTTGATTGAATGATGATTACAGTCATCATCAACAAGAACAACAATAACTAATGGGGTGGGTGGGACGGAATTCTAAATCTTTTACTAGAGCAAGAACGCTTTTGAAGCTCCACCAGGGAGCCACTTACAGTGATTCTGGACAAGTAAAAACAGATCACTATCCCTCCAGATCATAGCTGCACATAACAAAGTTGGTAAACTTAAAATGAAAGGCTTGTGTTCTTCCTTGGAGGTAATCCTTAACACAGAAAAGATAATCCAGATAATGCTATGCTGAGTTCTTCATTTCCCTTAATTTAACACAGGAAGGATGGAGACAAATTGAAGAGAAATTGCTTGTACTGAGGGGGGAGGGAAAAGAGTAAGAATTTCCTCCAAATTCTTAAGGGACACCAAGAAGAGCAATCCATCTTATGTGGCGTTGTTGGAAGGGAATGTGTGCCGACAATTATTATTATGGTTTTCAGATCTTGAAAAGATACATATACACATTAATTTGTGTAACATTTGCCTAACATTTTTCATCACAGCCTCAGCGGCTTCAGCCAATATCTTTGCTATCGCTATATCATTTTATATATCTTTGCTATCACTTTATCACTATATCACTGTGATGGCGAACCTATGGCACATGTGCCTGAAGTGGCATACAGAGCCATGTCGCCTGGCATGTGTGGCGTCGCCGGTTCCTCTTCCAGGTTTTTGGCGTGCATGTGCACACACCAATCAGCTGGCCTTTGTGCATGCAGCATTGCCAGAAACTGGGAGAGCTGGTCTTCCATTTTCCTGCATGAGCATGCGTGCCGGCCAGCTGATTGGTGATTGGTGCATGTGCTTGCGTGGCAGTAACCAGAAGACTTGCTGGCCGGTGTGCATGCACATGCCAGAAACCAGAAGTATCTTATCTGGCGAGTGCATGCCCTCTGGAAAGCTCCTCTTCCTGGTCGCGGCCCTGACAAGCGTGTGCGCTAAGTGCTCCCTTTTCAGCATTTGGTGCCGCGCACACATGCACACACTCCCTTTTTGGCACTTGGTGCCAAAAAGGTTCGCCATCACCGCTATATCATATAATGGATAATAATTCATTATTATAATTCAATTTACACCAAAAAAAATTATTTGATTTATATGCCGCCCTTCTCCGGAGACTTAGGGCGGCTCACAATGCGTTAAGCAAAATATACTTTTGTATATTTTATACAAAGTCAGCTTATTGCCCCCACAATCTGGGTCCTCATTTTACCTACCTTAGAAAGGATAGAAGGCTGAGTCAACCTTGAGCCTGGTGAGATTTGAACTTGCAGTAATTGCAGGCAGCTGATGTTAATAACAGTGCTTTAGTCTGCTGCGCTACCATTTTCTCAGTTCAAATTTTCTCAGTTCTATGACATTTCCATTCCTTTTATCATCCATACCATGTAATGCCTTCCCCTTTATGCAAATTGATTATCTAACCCAACTCTTCAGGATTTTTCTAGTGCATGTCATCATCCATTCTTCTAGTTTCAATTAGTCCTTTCTTTCTCTTCCTGGCCTGCCTTATCTAACATTTAATTACACCCCCCAAAACAAACTTACCAGGGTCCCTTCACAGTGGCTAAATTCACAAAAGTGAGTTCTGTACAACATCCTGTACAGAACTCTCGTTTCAAAACTAGCTAACAATAAAGCTGGGTTAAAAAATTGCTGTCAAGATGTCAACCAACTCAGATAAACAGGCTAACAGCAAGTAACAGTTTAATCAAGAAACTACCAAGATCACTCCCACCAACACTGACAGGGCAAGCCACTAGTATATAAAATGAGAGTGAACCCCACTCCCTGCTAGCACTGATGATGTTACCTAATTTGGTAATGAAATGTCTGCAAGAAAACAACCAAACTCAGGAAGCACCAAGGACCCTGCAGATGTCAATCTACAGAATATTTCCATTTTGGCAATGATGCTGTCAAGGTATTCTGTTCAGATGATATTTACCACATCCTCCGACTGATAAATTCCTCTGTTCTTTCATTCTT